TGTATGTGTGTGTGTGCGCGCGCGCGCTGCTAACAGTTCGTTCGTGTTCGGGGACGACTTGGCGGGGCATTGGGGTAACGGCGCAAATAATAGACGCTCGGGACGGCGAGCCGACCGCCGACCGAGCCCCGACCGCTCTCGGAGAACGCGGCGCAGTATATACGACGTCGCGTACCCGGCACACGTATTATTATTACACCGCGGACGACGCATTCTTTGCACATGATATAATAACTTGTGTGTATTTCAACGGCGGCGGCGTGCTCGCCCAACCCGACCACTGACTGCATGAACACGCTCGTGTGTATAATAATATAATGTACACGAAATACTATGCGGTTTACACATATTACACACACGCACAATACGAACACGCGTGTACATTCATGGCGAGCACAATAATTATTATTATTATTATTGTTATTATTATTACTATTATTCGTTAATATATTGAACACAATTTATACGTTATTATTATTATTATTATTTTTTTTTTTCATATTCAACGGTAGAAACCGGATTGCCTCGTTTTACTGACAAATGTATAACTTACGGCATCTTGCAATAATAACTATAATAATAATGGGACGGACATAACTGTTTTCGCCCCCAACCCCGAGGAAGTGAACGGGTTGTTGAATGAAAAAAAAGCGCTTTTTTTTACTTGTATTTCTCGCGCGTGACCGACTCATGCTTTTCTCAGTTTATCTGGGACTACCACTACCCCGCCACTGCTCTCGTTTTTTTCACCTTTTATTTTGCACCCTAATCAATTGTCAACACGACGGTAGGGCAAAAAATAAAAAATAGAACCTACACGCGTTTAATAAAGAATTATTTTGACCAACACCGAAAATCATTAAAATACTTCAACGTTTACTGTAACGAATACTATAGTTCTCCTCTGCATTAACGATTTAAAACCATTTTTAATCCCTTACCGCTAAATTGGCGTTTTGTTTTCATTATTTCACATTAATTCTTACATAACAATCGTAACATTAAAACTATAAACATTCCTATTAACTCCACGATAGTTATTTTGTAGTTAGGTGTCCTTCAATATATTTGAATTATTTTAGAAAGCCGGGCTGAATTAAAACGGGTATATGTATACTTACCATATACATACAATGGGCTACAATATTATTACAGTTTAATGCAAATGAAATGCAACAGTAGAATACGAATTCTTTCGGCATTTGCGACTAAACCAAACGAAATTAAATAAATGTATTCTGCGACTGTACTTATTAAAATATAAGAATTATTCGACAAACATTTACCAAACCCGTCGCATATCGAGATAAATAGTATATATCAAACCAGTTACGACCATAAATTTTAAAGGCCACGACCTATATATAGGCAGCACAATATTTCAAACTTCACCAAAGGGTATTAAATTCATTACTTTCTATAATTTTTGTTTGATTAAAATAATTAAAATTTGAGACATACGTTAAAAAAAAAAATTTTTAAGAAACATTCAAAATTTAACATTTAACAAGTCCTACTTTAAGAACGCTTATTCTCTGAATATTTAGCCAACGAGCGCCTAATGAACTTACTTTTTTAAATAGAATAGTATAACTTAAATAAGATAAACTACCAACATTTTCAGTGTTCATAAAAAAACAGTATAATAAACTATTTCCATAAAAAAAAAAAACAATTATAATCTGTTCAACACTTACAGTTATTTTCGAAATAATTTCACGTGACTTTTTAACATTATAAAAAGAAGCATGAACCAACCAACCAAACAACACTGTGAAAGTAGTAGGTAGTAAAATATCATCATTTGCATTTATTAAACAAAAGAAAGTAAATTCTAAGAAAAAAATATCATGGGCTCGCGAATATTAAGATGAAAAACCTAAAATTGTTAAATAATAAACAAAGTTCTAACACTTTACTTTAAAATTAGAATGCATATTATTAGTCGTTTCATTAACAAACCGGTTATCTTTAAAATGTGTTTCAAAAAATAAACTTGAATCCACGAACAATAGAAAGAAAAGTTTTACATTTGTCGCCCCTACTGCTGACGAGACTTAATAAAGCATAAAATTAATGTTTATGTACGTGATTTCAGGACAATAACATTCCAATTATAAAAAAGTTTTACTTAAATGTTAAATTTCAATTTAGCTAATCGACATATCAGCAACCCAACTATAATTCGACAATTCTGTGTTTTTACACAACGTCAGCATATTGAATTACGTAAAATACTATTCCCGTTGCAAACAAGCGTCCCAAGCCGTTATTTCACCGTTAAGCGAACGCCACTCTAACGTTCTGATCAAACCGGTATAATAATAAATTGTACTTAAAAACGAAACAAACGGTTACGTTTACCGGGAAAATGTCAAATAACTCACCGGATGAGCCTGTGGCGGAGACTGATGAGGTGGCTGCTGTTGAGGCTGCTGTGGAGGCGGCGGCGTCGGCGACGAATGTTGCTGGGCGTTTTGGGCCTGCGGTACGGGAGGTAAGGCCGGCGGGCTTGCCGACGCCGGCGAAGACGTCGTCTGCCCCGGACCGGCATGAGGTTGCTGAGGTGGCTGGGGAGGAAGTTGAGGTTGCTGCGATTGCGATTGACGATCAACCGGCGGCTGTTGGTTCGGGTAGCTGCCATAAGGCGCCTGCGGAAAACCGGTGGCGTTTAACACACGTACGTATTCACATCGCCGTACACGTACATATTATTATGTACATCATTTATACACACGAATACACATTATTGTATAATCGGTTATAGAGTAGTAACATTAGTAACAATAATTGTGATGCACGATCAGTACCGGTGGAAATGAAGAGTAGTAGTAGTAATAGTAGTAGTAATAGTAGTAGTAGTAGTAGTAGTAGTAATTAGGTATTGGTGGTAATAGTAGTAGTAGTAAAAGTAGTTGTGGTAACAGTAGTAGTAGTATAGAGCAAAACACTAAATACCATGAGTAGTAGAGACAAATAATAATAATTAACGCTTGTTTCTGGGTTGCGAATGAAAAGCAAGAGTAGACGACAATCCCGAGGGTTTTGGGGTCTTGCCGTTTATTGTGGTATATCATTTCGGGGCCGACGAGAAAACATTTCACGGAAGTCAAGGTCGTAATGGGTGGCGGCTAACCAGGACTAAGCGGCAAGGAGAGGATCAGCTGTGAGTGATAATGCCTCACCACCGCCGACCGACCGCCCATCGATGTGTACGACCATTACCATTCTATTTGAAGTCGACCGGGCGACATAAAACTATAACACACAGGTCAATGACGTTTCCTTGTAAACAGCCGTTTTTATTTATATCTTATAAATAGAAAGGGAACACAATAAATCTCCGTAGTTGTATTATTATTGTTGTTGTTGTTGGGATGATCGCGTACCAAATACCGCCGAGATCTCTCAGATGATTTGGCCCATTCCCAGAATAAGTCTTGAATCGGAGTGTAATATTTATTCGCGCCCGAAAACAACAACAACCGTATGGTTCTAGGTCAATCTCCCAGGCGAAAGCGAAGGCGTTGTTTACATGTTTTATAATAATAACAATTACCTGTTGCTGAGGCGGTGGTAGCTGCGATTGCTGCTGCTGTTGCTGCTGCTGCTGCTGCTGTTGTTGTTGCGAAGGTGGTCCAGGAGGATACTGATGGTGCAACGGTGGTACCCGATGGTGCTGTTGGTATCCAGTAGGCGAAGACGGTGGTGGTGGATAATGTGTCTGGTGACCGGGCGACGGAGGAGGCGTCGGTCCTCTGGGATTCGCCTGCAAAACAAATAGAAAACTTTATACATACTGCTGCTGGGTGGTAACGAAAAGATCGACTAATAGGGAGGAAAATAGTGACCTTGGTGGTATTGGGGTCAACAGACGACAATAAACACAATAAGAGAAAGGCACCTCTAGACAGAGATAGAAAGAGAGAGAGAGAAACAGAAAAGTAAACGAGGGCAAAAAGGATTTTGTGCAGGTAGGCACCAATATACATATACATAATGTATGTATGTGTGTGTATAAATATAACTATACACAAGCACGGCAACAGCGACGATTGAGCGGAGGGTAGAGTTAAAAAGTTTTGCACAATGCATGTTTATGTGGTTAGTGCGAAACCTGTTATAGACGGGGTGGTGGAGGAGACATTTGGAGTCGTGAAAGGAACATAGGGATAAGGGTGCAAGCAACGTAATAGTAATAGGCAGGGTAACACATTGATCGCGGGAACTGGGAACATTTAAGGATTATAAAATTACGAAGCCGCTAAACTGTGGATTCTGTATGTGATAATGACGTATCTTCATTCATGAATCACGAACACGTCGTCACACTAGATGATGCGGAAAAGGTGACCCTAATGGGTCTAACGTGAAATAATTAATGACCCATTATCGTGTATGTGTGCGTGTCTATATATTATATATATAAATGCACACACACCTAATGCAATTATGAAAACAAACCACGTGTATGCGATAATAAATCCGATAATTGCTCGGTGGAACAATACAAATAAAAACAATCGTTTTCCATTAAATCTTCCCTCTCATTTCCTAATACTTGGTAAACTCAGCATTACACTTGTCGTTCAACGATAATAATAGTAACCCAACAATAATCGTATTACACGAGATAGATGAAACCAAGAACTTAATTATTAGAATACAATTTCTCAAAACGACTGACAGAATAATTATTTTAGGAAACATATATTGGTCAATCCAAATACTTATGGATACTTGTTTTTTAAAAAATTATCGAAAATGTAATATAAAAATATTACTTGCTGTAACACCATACACCATGATGAATTTTAAGTAACACAGTAATGTCGTTTGAGCATTATACTTCGACAATAATTGACTATAATTGATATAGTTTTTATTTTATCCGATAGTAGATAATTCAATACAATAACGGAAATATTCTACCTACAATACAGATAATTAAGTCAATAATAATTATACATGTGAAATGAATTCCTAGTCTAATTGTTAACATATTCTTTAGTTATTCGTCAAAATAATTATCTAAATATTATAAAATAATATCATATAATATTATTTAGGTATTTAATTATTTGCTAACAAAAATTTATGAATAGATGATAGCGCAAATAATTGTATATAGAGGCTCGTATTTTCATTTCATCTAATACTACCTGGACACTTAATACAAGTATATTACATACTTATCAAATACATTTTTACACATATAAATAGGAGCCAACTCTCGTAAGTAGAGGGTAAAATGATCATTTATAATTTCATGTCTTACATTATTTATATTATGTTAATAAATACACGTACGTATTCATTAATTACACATTATTCACATAGTCAAGAGTTATCTTTCAGAGTAGGATATAAATATTGAAAATTATACAATTTTCCGAAAAAAAAAATATTAGGTTTTTTCTTTATTAAAAGACATTCTCGTTGACTATTGGACAAATATTATTTACAAATTTAAGCTAAATGTGTTATGTACATGCTATTGAGTATTTGAAGAACATGTTAAAATTTTATTTAAAAATAGGTTTCATCTAACTTTAAACATTCGATAATGTGATACTCAATCATTTCATTAAAAATATAATACATAATATATAAAAACCAGTAGTTACATTTGTAATTTCTGTTAGTTTCATACGATGAAACGCCAAGTGTATAAATATAATTGACTGTGCGGACTTCTCACATAATTATATAAAAAAACACCAAAGTAATTGACAGTTGATCACGTTACCCGATTTATAACAGTTGTGCACAGAAGCGAATATATTATAAAGAGCAGGTGTTATCATTTAATAGTATTGTTTTCTCCAAGACCTTTGAGCCCACGTGGTATCCGTCGTAGTAACGTTATCAGCGTCGTCGCCGCGTTCAGATCAAAACGTGTCTCAACATTATCTCAACATCATATTATGCAATAACAGGTACGCGCGATCGGAATACGTTGCACTCGTCTCGATCGGAACGACGACATAGTTAACGCGCGCGTTCTCGGAAACGGGAAAAGTGTTACGCGATGGTGCACAATAAACGCGACGAGCACGAACGAGAAGGTGCCACCGGCAGAGCGTTTCATCGACGTAGAAATGACCGACGACATCGGAGATGGGTCGTTGTATAAACGCGACGATACACACATAACACGAACCCGGTGTCAAGAGGGATACGAAGGAAGCGTTAACGGTGGCGGTAATGCCTCGAATAGTTTTACAAACGACGATCGCGCGGTGTATGGAAACGCGAACGATTTACGATGTCACCACCGTGGCGCTTGTCTTATGCGGTGGACAAGGCACGTGCTGCTAGGGGAGGGGGAAGGATGGCGAGGAGGCTTCGTATTCCTTTCGTATCCGTTTTTACGACACGACCGTTTTGCTTTCGAACGTACACACACGCGCCTATGTAAACACACAACAATTATGTTTAAAAATAAAATAAAACGACCAAAATATTCCGCGCGATGTTTTTTTTTTTTTATCTAAAAAATGTATTTACACTTGCCGGTTGCGCGCTCGCGTGTGTATACGTGTGCACGTTGTTGTGGTGTTGTTGGGTAAGGGCATGGGCGCGTACATAATGCGTGTGCGGCATACAATAAACAAACCCATTCTCTCTCCTCTTTCACTCTCGTCTCTTTCGACACACACGTGTATACATTTATGCTCATATTATACATATACATATACATATACTTATACCTATATATATATATATATATATATATATATATATATATATATATATATTACAATCTGGGTTAATAAACTAGGCTCACAATACACACAAGTCGAGGATCGGAAATGATAGATGTGCATTTCCGCAGTCGCCCCCGCCGACGTTATAAAGGCCGCAGGGGATCAATAACGAACTATACAACGCTAACGACCTAAACATATATATAATAAAATATATATATATATATATAATGTCGACAAATACGCGCGTAAATATATACGTTAATATATGTACATTCTTAAATCGGCACGAAGCAAAAGATATTCATCACGCCGAACTTGAGACTTGAGTGCGTTTAATTGTAATTAGAAAATGATTAGTTCAATTGTAATTAGAAAATGATTATGTTACGATTTAAAATGATTATATTATGTTGCCGATAACACTGGATAGTAGTAGTTACACTGCACGTCTACAACGTACACATCAAACGTCATCACCCACCACCACTACCGTCGTCATCATCACAACTACCACCACCACTCGAAATTACGAAATTTAAGACTGCGAAATTTGTAACGAATCATATAACAACCTAAATAAGCGGATACATTTATTATAAAATCTGTGTCGTTTTTGACAGGATTTCGCGAGCTCGGACAACGATCGTTTCATTTGGAACGATTGTCCATTCTGATAATAGGTACACGGTGAATAATAAACAGCAGCTTAGACTAATCGTCGGTACCGATGACATCACCATCACGATGATAACTTATCGCATTTAACACACATAATATTATGTACAAATAACACATGCATACGTATAATATAATAACAAGTACATGGCATGCTAATAATCTATCTATACGACTCTCAAGGTTCACCGACATCGGTCGGCTGAGTTTCTATGACAACCCGTCAATGATAATTACGGTAATACTCAATACGGATCACGGAATTCTTGAAGGAAAATTGAACTTCCTAAACTGGCCGACGATTATTATAAGAAAAAGTTATTATTAGTGTAATTGTACGTAACTGCTATGGCCTAACGGGCACAATTTCATTGATAAAACAAAAAGTTTTCTGTTTACAAAATATATCATTAAATTACTCTTCAATTACTATTATCATAGTCATTATCGTATACACCAGTAATTCAAAAAACTGGTATAGTGTTTGAACGTGTACGCTATCAATACCGAGCCAATAGACAATAACATGAAAGAGAATTTATAATTAATATTCAACCACAAATATGCCATGATATTAATTTTGCAAATATCTATGACGTTGGAATCAAGATATGAAATATACCATGGTAAATTGTTTACAAGAAAGATAAAATTACCAACTAACAAAACACCACGCTGAACAAATAAAAATAAATTTTCAATGATTGAATAGTTTACTTCTACATAATATAATATTATGTAATGCCTATAGTGATAATAATTTAACATTTTGTTGCATCTGCTATTTTTAAATTTTTACTTAATTAAATAAAAAAATAAATTAAATAAAAATAACTTTTAAAAGTTACCTTTTTAATCTATTAATTATAAAATTACAAATAAGTAATATACCTTTATAAATTGACGTAAAAATATATTTTTTATACATAAAGAGAATATTAGGTAAATGATTAATTCGATTTATTTATAAATACATTTGTAGATAATAAAAAGTATCTTAATAATAAGATAGGTATTATCATTCATAACGGGAAAATATCTATTTCCAGATAAAATTTTTTTACAGCTCTTATTCAAATTATAATTAATTAATCGTTACTCTGAAAATAGTTGTTTAATATTTTAAGAAAAATTATTTACTTCTGGATTTCTTCATAAAACTATGGTTTGATATCAATATATTGAAAATCAATAGTTAATGAAATTGTATTTACTATGGGAGGACGATAAAAAATTATCATAATAGAAAAATATCCTTGACAAGAAATATTTAAATTGAATTCCAAAATATTATTATTTTGAATACAACCTAATCATATTTAATGTTGTTAAATAGTAAGTATGAGAAATATCATTTGTCATTCAACATAAAAACCATAAT